ACAGCGGGGAAGGGCAGGGGCGGCCGGGAGCGGGCTGCTGACCTGTCCCCACAGCCAGGCGAGAAGCAGCCGCTGGATCTGGGGAAGCTAGTGAGCTCGGTGGCGGCCCAGAGACTGGTTTTGGACACTCACCCAGGTAGAGAAGCAAGGCCCCAGGGCTTGGTCCCTGGAGATGGCTTTGGCCCAGAAGGGAAGGGATCCAGGTGGGAGGCAAACACTAACGGTGGTGCGCTCTGCCACAGGTGTGGAGATTCCCGAAGCTAGGGACATAGCCCAGCGTCACAGCCAGGTGAGAGAGAGAGAAAGGGCTCCCCCTTCTACCCACTGCACCTCCCCTCCCAGCTGTGGCTCTGACTCCGCGTTCTTACAGGGCAGCCAACCTAGAGCCCAGAACAAGGCTGCCCATCCCCCTCCACTGTCCCTCAACTCCATGGGTGAGGCGCCGAGTAGTCTCACTGGGAAGCGGCAGACCTGTGACATTGAAGGTACTTTGGGGACGGTGGGAGCTAGGGACCAGAAGCATTGGGGACCATTGAAGGTGGGCGGAATCAGAGAGGCTTGAGCTGAGGCCGGGACCTGCATGTCCTTGGGGCTGGAAGAGTGTCCATTGGGGCTGGGGGACCCGAGGGGTTGAAGGGCGGAAGGAGGTTAGGGAGGCTGTGGTCATAGTAAAAGCAGCAGGACGGGGGTGGGCTAGCACCACTGGGCCTCTTGACTCTGTGGCCACCCTTAGGCCTGGTGGAGCTGCTGAATCGGGTGCAGAGCAGTGGGGCCCACGACCAGAGGGGCCTTCTGCGCAAAGAGGACCTGGTGCTTCCAGAATTTCTGCAGCTGCCGGCCCAAGGGCCCAATTCCCAGGAGGCCCCACCACAGACTGAATCAGAGGTCCAGCCCAAGGGGGACCCCTCGGACTCCACTGCCCACTCGGGCCTCTGACAGCTGCCCAGCAGTCCAGGCCGGCTGCATGGCACCTGGCGGGCCAAGCATGCCATGGGCCCGCTCTGCATGCCCTGTCTGTGCCATGAGTGTCCTTGGCCCCTTCCTGCCATGGGCAGGCCCGCAGGAAGAGCTGGACGAGGGTGGAGAGCGGGCTTAGAGGAGCCACACCCCACAGCTACCAGCGCTTGGTCCCTCATCAGTTCGCTCACCCATCCCTTGCTGCCAGGTCACTGAGGGGAGGTGGGCCTCGCCTCCCCAGTACAGGCATGCCCAGCACAGAGGGGCGGCGTTGGCGGTGCCAGCCCCCCACCCTGGGCTAGGCCTCAGCGGGGAGCAGGAGGTGGGGCTGGCCCCTCCTCAGGGAGCTGGAATGAGTAAGGCCTGGGGGTGCAGGCGGGCAGCCCCTCACTCTACTCACATAGGCTCTGCTGGACGTATGGATTTTGCAGTCAGCCTGGGGCAGCTGGGTTTGTCCTGGATGTACGATATTGTTATTATAATAGTAATTATTATTCTCCCATGAGGTGTGTTCCTTGTGTGCCTGTCCACCCTGTGTTCCCCCCCGCCCCCCACAACTGCACTGCCTCTGTCACCAAGGTCAGTGCCAGGAAGCTCTTGGGGACCTCAGGATGTGCCCCCCGACTTCCTGTTGTCAGAACTTCTCTTCCTGACTGCACAGAGTATTGGGGTGTGAATATGAGAGACAGACAGAGACGGGGAGGGAAGGAGGAAGGGGGGAGGGAGGGGAAGGCCCTTCTGGGGAGCTGCGCCTCTGCCACCTGCCCTCATGCTGTTCCTCAGTCTCTGGATCTGAGGAGAGCACAGCATCTGGTTGTTGTCCTCTACTTCTAGTAGTGCTCGAGTGTGTCTCTGCAGACATGGCTGTGGGCTCCTTGGGATGCATGAAGGGCCTTGTGGAGGATACTGGTTGTTGTGGTGGGGGCAGGTTCTGTTCCTTGCCTGCTTTGGCTGGGTAGTCATCCCTGTCCCTAGGCAGCCCACACAGGGAGGGGGAGCAGGGAGGACCTCCCAGAAGGAGGGCCCAGCATGTGGGCAGAGAAGCCGGACTCAGTCCCGGTGCCGCTGAGACAGAGGAAACAAGGGGACATGGGAACCTCGAAGGGACACTTGGGGAGTGAGGGACCCTCCTGACCCCCTCAGGCAGGTCAAGCTCTCTTCCCCACTCCAGTTCTTTGTGCTTGCTGTCCCCTCTGCCAGGAACTGCCCCCCCCCCGCCCCCATGCCATCATGGCACCTCGTTCTTGAAATTCCTGAGAGATCAGTGGGGTTTGCTGGCCCATCATGCCTTTCTCCAGAAGTTGAACCCAAGCCTTTCTCGGGGGCCTTCAGCCCTCTGCCCCCTCTGCTCATTTTGCTTGGCTGGGTTGACCAGACCCCCTAGCTGCTGGAGGGGGGCTCATGACCCAGGCCTGGTCAATCAGAGTTTGGTGCAGGGATGATTCTCTGACCCCAATCAAAATCCCAGTCCTGGTCATCTACCATTTCCCGGGGATTTGAACAGAGGTTATGCAGGGAGAGAACCTGCATGTCAGTGAAGCCAATACAGGACAGCAGGACTGAGAGATAGAAGGAGATTCTTGACAAAATTTACCTGAACACCTAAATTCACCCAGGCCTGAAGTCAACCACCCCTAGACATTCTCATTTAGGCAAGCCAACACATTCTTTCTGTGTGCATGTGCCTGGGACTCTGAGTGGGTTTTCTAAGACCTGCAACCACAAAAGTTCTGCTTCATCATTCAGCTTGAACACCTCAGCAGAGCCTTCCCTGGTCACCTGATGCTGTGATCTAAACGTTTGTGTCCATCCCCCCACAACCCCGCCATTCATATGTTGAAACCCCAGTCCCAAGGTGATGATGGTATTAGGAGGTGGAGCCTTTGCAATGTGCTTGGTCTTGAGGGTGGAATCCTCGTGAGTGAGGTTAGTGCCCTTATAAAAGAGATCCCAGAGAGCTCCCCCACCCCTCCCACCCTGTAAGGACAGAACAAGAAATTGGCTGTCTACAACCTGGAAGAGGGCTGTCATAGACACCAAATGTGCTGACACCCTGATCTTGGACTTCCAGCCCTAGAATTGTGAGAGATAAATTTCTGTTGCTTATAAGCCACCTAGTCTCTGGTATTTTTGTTATAGCAGCCCAAACGGACTGACACCAGATTTGAAGTGCTCCCCAACTTTGTTCTCTACAATGCTGTCTAGTTTTCTTCCTTCATAGTGCTCATCCCACTCTGTAATGACCTTGTTTACTTATTTACACTTGTTGGCTGACAATATGAAAAACATGCCCTGATGGCAGTGACCTTGTCCCTCGTAGTCATTGCTGTATCTCTTTGGCCTAGTGGGAAATGATTCCACAGCCTCAGATAGACCCAGTGAAGGACGCAGGGACAGCAGGGCAGTGGGGTCCTGGGCAGGGGACTGCATAGCACCAGGATCACAGTCTGTGGCCAGATGGGGGTAGGGAGACAAACCCATGTCCCTTCCCCAATCAGCTGCAGAACCTTCCTTATAGTTCTGGGCCCTGGGGTTTCTCCCTTGGGCGCAGAGACACCTTTCCATGTGCCTAGATAGAGAGGTGGGGACACCAGGTGAGAGATGGGTATCTTCCCAAAGTTGGCAGATCCTGCAGGCAAGCCCACCCTTCACCCATCCCTGCCTATCTGCAGACCCAGCAGTGATGCCTACTACTCTTAGGGACCAACAGAGGCGATTGCCCCATGATAGAGGAGGTCATGGGTCAGGTGGAAGAGCCTCTATAGATGTTAGCTCCTGCAGGGGGGAGGAAAATTCACATCAACTCAGGCCCCCAAGTTAGGCATGCTCCATCCTTTATCTCATTTTTTTGTCCTCATGACAAAATAGCCTGGTGGGGATGAAACCAAGGCTACAGGAAGGGAAGTGACGAGTCCAGGATCCTGCAAGGAATTTGTTGCTGGAGCTTGACCAGCACATAGGCTGTCTGACTCAGGGACACACACCAAGGAGGAACCCCTGATGGGAAGCCGGCACCCTCTTGGGGGAGGATATGTTGATATGGCTGCTCTGGGGAGCAGCTTGGGAGTTTCTGCTAAAAATTAAAAACACACAGCATGTGACCCCAGCAGTATCACCAGAGAATCACTCACTCCCAGGCACAAGGAGCCCCATCCCTGCAGGGTTGTTTATGATCCCAAAACTGGCAAACAGACAAATGTGGGTGGGGGTGTGGTATGGGGTAACAAAAAGGTGGTGGTGTGTCTATGCTCTGCAATACCACACAGCAGATAAAGAATTGGGTAGAGCATGTCCTGCTATGGAAACTTCTCCAAGATGTGTTATCGTTCGGTAAAAGAAAGTGGGGCAATGCCTATGACATGATACCTTTATATAAACCACAAACACAGAGACACACTTATAAGGATACAGAAAGAATAGAGAACATTCTAGAAGGATACATGTCAAGCAGACAGGAAAATGGAGAGGGGACCAGGACTGGGGGTAGTAGTCAAAGGACACTTTCACTTAAGCTTTAATGCTTTTTAAAGGATGCAATTAAAATAATTATAATAGGGTGCCTGGGTGGCTCAGTTGGTTAAGCGACTGCCTTCGGCTCAGGTCATGATCCTGGAGTCCCGGGATCGAGTCCCATATCGGGCTCCTTGCTCAGCGGGGGGTCTGCTTCTCCCTCTCACCCTCCCCCCTCTCATGTGCTCTCTCTCTCTCAAATAAAAAAAAAAATCTAAAAATAAATAAATAAATAAAATAATTATAATAACATAAAGAACTTCTCAAGGCCACTTATTTGTCACTCTGGCCCACTATCCCTTTCTCCAGAAGGAGAACCAACTCTTCCTTTGGGGGCTTCAGCTAGCACCCACCTTGGCCCACTTTGGCTGGCTGCTTTGTCCCTCTGCCACAATCCCGCAACATGTCCCCTGAAGCTGTCCTGGGCTGAGGGAGACCCAGTTCCCTCCTCCCAGCTCTGCACTCTCAGAATTCCTCAAGGTCCTGGCCCTCACTGCAGTGATAGGGGTCCAGGCCCAGGGGCAAAAGGCACCAGCTGGTCAACCCGCAGGCCGTTTTCAAAGCCCCTGCACTGCATGGAGCTAGGCTCCTGGGTGGCTGGGAAAAGCCATGGAAGCTGCTTCCCCCCACCCCACCAGATGGGAAGCCTGGAGGGGAGTCTGCCTATCCACCCAGCACCCAGTGTGAAGGAGGGGAGAGAACACACATTTGCTGACTGCTCTGCAGTCCCCAGCACCCCCACCTTATGGAGGACACAGGCAGAGAGCGGATGTGACTGCCCTGAGGACAGCCAAAGGACCCAAGCCTCTGAGAGAGAAACTTGCTACCTGTCTCTGGTCCCCTTACCCTTCTTGACAGTCGTGGCGACAGTCAAGCGGATGGTATGGGACGGGCACAGGGCAAGCAGAGAGCACACAGTGACCTCGGCTCTGGGCCAGGGTGGGGGCAGGTAGAGGCACCAGCTGCTCGCCTGGTGCTGGTTGGAAGTGCTGACACAGCGGTGGGCAGATGCTCCCTGGGGCAGCCATCCCTACCCCCAAGAGCGAGCACAAGGTGCACCGTTCAGGGGGCCTGGCCGGTGATCAGGTGACTCCAGTTTCTGGGGGATTAGAGGCTGGAATTCAGCTTTCACAGGGAAAGAAAGGCCCGGATGGGGAGGAACACATGTTGAATCAGACGCAGCCCAGGCGCATACCGCTGCACAAAAAACAGGGCCACCATTCATGTCCCTGGTGGTCCTGGCACGTCCAAGAAAAGCTGAAACATGAACACATGTGTGTATCCTGTGGCTCCCGTATTGTCTAGGCAAGGGGTGCTCTGTGACTATCTCAGCTCCTATCTCCAGAGAACTGGCTTGGGGGTCGAACAGAGGCAGAAAGCCAAGGAGAAGCGCCGTAGAACCAGCATGCCACTTCTAGGCCAGCCCAGGATGCTGGCGGCCAGAATGAAGTCCCAGCCAGCTGGGAGGGGTGGGCAGCAATAACCCCACTAGCCGAGTAGGCCCCGATCTCCCAGCCTTACCGCTGAGGGGCTGGAGGAATCAGAAGCCAGACCCAAAACCTGGAGCGTGGAGTCTACTGCTGGAGCGTGGAGCCTGGAGCCCAGACCAGAACCTGGAGCCAAGAGCCTGAAGTCTAAAAACTGGAGTCTGGAGGGGCACCTCCCTGGCTCATTTGGTAGAGTGTGAGACTCTTGATCTTGGGGTTGTAAGTTTGAGCCCCACGTTGGGTGTAGAGATTACTTAAAAATAAAATCTTTGAAAAATAATAATAATAAAATAAAAACTGGAGACCGGCATCTGGGATTGGAGGCTGCAGCCCGGAACCTAGAGCCCAATGCCTAGAAGCAGAGCCCCTGCTTGGCTGGACATGGGATGCCTGAAACCGGAGCCAGGAGACTGGAGCTGAGATCCTGGAGCCCGGAACCTAGAGCTTGCACCTGAGAATTTACGGTGCAGGGCTTAGAGCTCCAGGCCCAGAACATGGAGCTCAGAACCTGAGGTCTAAAGCAGGAGCTCAGAGCTTCAGGTCTGGAACCTAGAAGCTAGAGCATAGGACGGCCATCTGGGAGTATGCTGGTCCCTGAGGCTGGCATGAGGGCACAGGGCTGGAGCCATATTAGGAAGGGAGCTGCAGGGAAAGAGGTGATTTCTGAGAAAAGCCCAAAGCAACCTCAGCTCTTTTGGCCACAGACTTTAGCCTCATCAGTCAATGAGTGACCGGTGCCTGGGCCACCAGGATTAAACATTACTCAGGGCACTTATCCCTCAAACAAGGATGGGGCATCCTCAGGTCAGCTGCCCCTGCCCTGGGTCCATGGATCTAATGTAGCCTGCGGCACCCAATCTGGAAAATGGGGCTTGGTTGGGAGAACATCGCAGGGCCCTGCTTCTTCTGTGCCAGGCAGCTCAGATGGAAGTCCAGATTCTCCAAGAGAGGACAAAGTCAAGAGGGCCAGGGGAGGGACTGCTCTGCTCCCTAAGGAGAGGAGGGAGGTGGCCCCTAGTATGTCACGCAGCCCATTGGTGAGAATGGCTGCCTCAGCCACAGACAGAGGATGCCCCCATGCATGTGCAATGCACACTCACATCTGCGTCTGTGTGCAGCGGTGCTGGCCTGAATACTGGGGTGGAATGTTCACGGCCGTGTCCCCCGTGTGCAGCAGCATGCTGACTCACTGTGGGGCTTATATGTTGGTTGGAGAAATAAACAAGTTGGTTCAAGGAGACAGGAGGAGCCCCATTGTGGGATTACACTGGTCGTTAATCAGTTCTCCCAAAAAAATCCAGCTCATGGAGGGATGGTCTAGAATGTTAGTTTTTCTTCCCTTGATTGTCCTCAAACTTTAGGTCCTGCAGAAAACTTACATGCAGCAAACTGTATTATTTAAAGGAGCCAATGGATCTTAGCCGGGGATTACAGAAACAGCTGGTTGTGCCAACTTCCACAGCTCGCTCCATTCCTGGACCAATTACTTGTTCTTGGGATCATTCTCTACTCTGCTCAGCAGTTTTGCTGCTCCCGGGGAAACTGTTTTCATTGGCACGACCAAATTCCCTATCTGTCAGTCTGTCACGTTCACGTTGGCCACGCTGTCTCGGCTCCCATCTCCTGCTCCTTCCCAACCCCTCACAAGCTGCCCCCGCCCCCAGTACTGCCCCAGGACAGCTCTCCCAGGTCACTAAATCCGCTCTGTCCTCACAATACCTGACCTCTCTGCAGCATCTGACCTGGCTCATCAGGGTGTCTCCGTCTCAAAACGGGGGTGACCCTGGCTTCTGGGGCATCTACTTTTCTGTTCTTCTTCCCAATCCCTGTTATACCTGTTGGTTTCCTCTCAGGAGTCCCTCTTTTCTTTTCTTTTTTTTTTTTTTTAAGATTTTATTTATTTGCGAGAGAGAGAATGAGAGACAGAGAGCATGAGAGGGAGGAAGGTCAGAGGGAGAAGCAGACTCCCTGCTGAGCAGGGAGCCTAATGTGGGACTCGATCCCGGGACTCCAGGATCATGACCTGAGCCGAAGGCAGTCGCTTAACCAACTGAGCCACCCAGGCGCCTGGGAGTCCCTCTTTTCTTTGCCCTCCCCCCAAATATGGGTGCTCCTCCAGGCTCAGCCCTGGGCCTTCTCTCTCCTCAATGTGCACATTCTCCCTTGGGGGGGGTGGGCATCTTCACAGGCCACACCTGAGGCCCTTGAGGCAGGCAGGACACCAAGTCACTCTGGGCCCCAAGGCTGTGACAGGACACTGGTCTTTGTACGAGCAGGGGCAGGTTTGAAAAGAGAGGGGTAACA